TCCTGCGGGATGTTCCTGTGTTGTTCTCATGTGTGTTGTTCCTTGTTCCTTATGTTCCTTATGTGTTGTTCCTTATGGGATGTTCCTTATGTGTTGTTCCTTATGGGATGTTCCTTCTGTGTTGTTCCTTATGGGATATTCCTTATGTTTTGTTCCTTCTGTGTTGTTCCTTATGGGATGTTCCTTATGTGTTGTTCCTTATGGGATGTTCCTTATGTGTTGTTCCTTATGGGATGTTCCTTATGTGTTGTTCCTTATGGGATGTTCCTTCTGTGTTGTTCCTTATGGGATATTCCTTATGTTTTGTTCCTTCTGTGTTGTTCCTTATGGGATGTTTCTCATGTGTTGTTCCTTATGGGATGTTCCTTAGGTATAGCTTACATGTGCCGTTACATATACAAGTCACGTTGCTTATGTTGTTACGTCTTTGGTTGTTACTTACGCTAGTGTTACTTATGTATTGCTTGCAGTTGGTTATACTTTGATCACGTAATTTTCTTTTCCCTGTGTTTGTCTGGTTCGTGATCTGATGGGCCCCAGTTCAAATGGACCCCAACAAGACTTAAGCATACGGATTGGGGCCCAGTTGTCGTGAGCCTCAATTATATAGGAGTCTAATCCTAAGTTTAGGTTAGGTTAGGTTAGGTTTGGTTAGTTTTTGCTAGCATGTTAGGTTTGGCTAGGTTACTTTATGTAATGTTAGATTGGGTTAGGTTAGGTTAGATTGGGTTAGGTTAGGTTAGGTTTGTGTACAGTTGGTTAGGTTTGGATAGAATTGGTTATATTGGGTTAGAATAGGTTTATGTAAGCTAGATCAGATTACAGTGGGTTAGGTTAGGCTAGGCTGGAGGCTTTTAGGAGAGCGGCTTATTTAACTTTTGACTTTGAACCTAATTCCTTTTATATTTTTATTATGTTAAGCGGATATAATAATTAAAAACATAAACGTAATTCATTTAGGGAAATTATGGTACTGTACATGTTTTACTTATATACCTACTTATAGTAAATTAGAGAGAGAGAGAGAGAGAGAGAGAGAGAGAGAGAGAGAGAGAGAGAGAGCCTCTTCTTTTGTTGTCTATCTCTTCCATTCTCTCCCTTCCACAACGTTAATTTTATACCCTAAGAGTTAGTGAGAGAGAGAGAGAGAGAGAGAGAGAGAGAGAGAGAGGCCTTCTTTGCTGTCTATCTCTTTCCATTCTCTCTCCCCTTCCACAACGTTAATTATACCTAAGAGTTAGTGAGAGAGAGAGAGAGAGAGAGAGAGAGAGAGAGAGAGAGAGAGAGAGAGAGAGAGAGAGAGGCCCCTCTTTGCTGTCTATCTCTTCCATTCTCTCTCCCTTCCACAACGTTAATTATACCTAAGAGTGAGAGAGAGAGAGAGAGAGGGAGAGAAGAGTGAGAGAGGGTTTTCTTTCCTCCCACCTCTTCTATATAGCTCATTCTCTCTCCCTATACCTCTTCCATCCCTTCCATCCACTACTCCTTCCCTCCCTTATTTAAGTTACCCTGGCCGTCTTGTTTCTGTTGTTGGTAACTGACTGTACTGTAAACAACGAGTAACAAAGGTTATGGACGAGAACTTTGCTCTGGTAGGTCAGGGTATAATGTAGACTGTAAACAAACAAACAAGCACTTGGGGTCCTATGCAAAACTGTGCTCAGACGCTATTTAAAAGTGTTGTTATGTTCGTGTGTGATTTGTTATGTTCGTGTGTGATTTGTTATGTTCGTGTGTGGTTTGTTATGTTCGTGTGTGATTTGTTATGTTCGTGTGTGATTTGTTATGTTCGTGTGTGATTTGTTATGTTCGTTTGTGATTTGTCATGTTCGTGTGTGATTTGTTATGTTCGTTTGTGATTTGTTATGTTCGTGTGTGATTTGTTATGTTCGTTTGTGATTTGTCATGTTCGTTTGTGATTTGTCATGGTCGTGTGTGATTTGTTATGTTCGTGTGTGATTTGTTATGTTCGTTTGTGATTTGTCATGTTCGTTTGTGATTTGTCATGGTCGTTTGTGATTTGTCATGGTCGTGTGTGATTTGTCATGGTCGTGTGTGATTTGTTATGTTTGTGTGTGATTTGTTATGTTCGTGTGTGATTTGTCATGGTCGTGTGTGATTTGTTATGTTCGTGTGTGATTTGTTATGTTCGTGTGTGATTTGTTATGTTCGTGTGTGGTTTGTTATGTTCAGTGTGATTATTATGTTCGGTGTGTGATTTGTTATGTTCGTGTGTGATTTGTTAGGTTCGTTTGTGATTTGTCATGCTCTGTGTGCGATTTGTTATGTTCGTTTGGTAGATTTGTTGGTGTTCGTGTGTGATTTGTTATGTTCTGGCCAGGGATTTGTCATGTTCGTTTGTGATTTGTCATGGTCGTGTGTGACGGTTATGTTCAGTGTGATTTGTTATGTTCGTGTAGATTTGTTATGTTCGTTTGTGATTTGTCATGTTCGTTTGTGATTTGTCGCGGTCGTGTGTGACGGTCATGGTCGTGTGTGATTTGTTATGTTTGTGTGATTTGTTATGTTCGTGTGATTTGTCATGGTCGTGTGTGATTTGTTATGTTCGTGTGTGATTTGTTATGTTCGTGTGTGATTTTGTCGTGGTTCACTGTGTGATTTGTTATGTTTGTGTGTGATTTGTTATGTGTGTGATTTGTCATGGTCGTGTGTGATTTGTTATGTTTGTGTGTGATTTGTTATGTTCGTGTGTGATTTGTCATGGTCGTGTGTGATTTGTTATGTTTGTGTGTGATTTGTTATGTTCGTGTGTGATTTGTCATGGTCGTGTGTGATTTGTTATGTTCGTGTGTGATTTGTTATGTTCGTGTGTGATTTGTCATGGTCATATGTGTGATTCTCTTTAAAGCTGCCAGACGCACAACGAGGTGGAGGGAGACCAGGAAAGACTTTCAGGTTTAAGGGTTCTGGGAAGACCTCCTTAGTGCCTGGGTGGTCAAGCCTCCTCCATGTTAAGACGTTCCATGTGTGTCATCTCGTTTTCAGATGTGGGAACAAGACATTGAATTTTGAGAATAAAATCAGTTCCTATATATAAAAAATCCCGAGCATTTGTAACAGTGGATGTTTAGCTCGTTTAGAAGAGTTCGTTTGACAGAGAGAGAGAGAGAGAGAGAGAGAGAGAGAGAGAGAGAGAGAGAGAGAGAGAGAGAGAGAGAGAGAGAGAGAGAGAGAGAGAGGAGATAATTCCCACTGGAACCAAACTAAGTTAAAGAACCGGGACCCTAAATATAATACCAATATATTAAGTTTGATTGGTCTAAATTAGCTTATTGTATGTTAGAAATGATTCGGAATGATTCCTCTGGCGCTGTAGTAATGTTTCTTTCGATAAACCTAAAAATCTTATTCTGAATCTGTAGAAGTTGTGTGTCGTAGGTGTTAGTGAACTGTGCTTAATGACCCCAGCAGTTGTAGCACTTAGAACCAAAATCAACAATATATAGTATTAGGCAAATTGAGACTTATTGAATGCCTGCAAATTTCCATTACATTTAAAACTTAATGATCATAAGTATTGTTAAGAGGAAAAATAAAACGAATGAAAAGTATATTTCACCTCTGGTAATCTGAACTGGGCGTGAATAACCGGGTTAAAACTGACTGGCCTCCCTTTTATATCAAGGCGAAAATGCAGGTTGAAAAGTATAGTGGTGTTCTTTTTTTCCTCGCGTTTTGGAGGCCATAACTTGTTTACATTTTTACGCGGGAAGTGACGATGTGGGGGGTACGCACCGCTACGGCCGTTTTGGACGCTAATCCACTTACTGACGCTGCTGTACCTCTGTTTACACACAAATTTCAGGGTTATATTGTCGTGTAATCAATCATATGAACACTACAGCATCCATCAACGGGGAATAATGAAAATTAAACTTTCGCTGTCATTTCATTCCTAGACGCAGCGACGTGAACATCTGGAATATCAGTTTGGTGGAGCGAGTTAAAGTTTTGTAGTTATGAAGTCGAGTACAGATAATATTGTTATATAAGAATAAATTTCCATATCACATGAAGATTAACCCCCCAGCTTATTTTACCTGAAGATTAACCACCAGCTTATTTCACCTAAAGAATAGCCCCAGTTTATTTTCCCTAGAGATTGGTTCCATGCAAGCTTATTTTAGTTGAAGATTAGCCACAAGCTTATTTAGCCTAAACATCAGCCCCAAGCTCAGTTCACCCGAATATTAGCCCCAGCTTATTTCACCTAAAGATTAACCACTCTAATCATCAGGTGAAATAAGCTGGGGTGTCTAATCTTCAGGTGTTCCAAATATCCTAAGAGAGAAATAGGGAGAGGGAGAGCGAGACCTTCTCTCTCTCTCTCTCTCTCTCTCTCTCTCTCTCTCTCTCTCTTTTCCATTCTTTCTCCCCTTCCACACCGTTAATTATACTTAAGAGTGAGCGAGAGAGGGAGAGGGTCTTTCCTCCCTCTCTTCTACGTCTTTCCCTCCCTACCTCTCCCATCTCTTCCATCGACTACTCCCCTCTTCCACCGGCCCTTGATATTGAGAGACAGAGACAGAGAGAAAGTCCTTCCTTATTACTCCTCTTTTTCCATCCAACCTCTTCCATCCTTTCTCCACTTTCACTCCTCTCCTACTTCTCCTTAGGAGAATGGAGAGAGAGAGAGAGAGAGAGAGAGAGAGAGAGAGAGAGAGAGAGTCCTTCGCCTATAAACTTGTCTGGCCTCCTCCACCTACTCTCCCGTTTGCCATCTCTGCTTATAGCCGAAGAGAGAGAGTGAGAGAGAGAGAGAGAGAGAGAGAGTCATTCCTTTTCCTGTTTCCATCAACACTCTGCCTCACACCTGCCTCTCTCCTCTCTCGTTGCCATCTCTCCTTATGTGAAAAGTAAGGGAAGGTACAATTAGTCAGTTGCACAGAGCTAGGAGGAGATCAAAGGGTGTGTCCGTTTACGTCGTCAACTTGGTGATAATGCACGTGATGAACTCTTATTATTGAGTTACCGACTTAATGACTGCAGCGCCGCCGTCCCCACCCGCCGCCCAGAACTACACCCTCCGGGGCCACCCACACCATCTGCAGCGCCGTCCCCACCCGCCGCCCAGAACTACACCCCTCACGGGCCACCCACACCATCTGCAGCGCCGCCGTCCCCACCGCCCAGAACTACACCCTCCGGGCCACCCACACCATCTGCAGCGCCGCCGTCCCCACCCACCGCCCAGAACTACACCCTCCGGAGCCACCCACACCACTCCGCAGCGCCGCTGGTCCCCACCCGCCGCCCAGAACTACACCCTCCGGGGCCACCCCTGCATCTGCGCCATAGTCCCCACCCACCGCCCAGAACTACCTCCGGGGCCACCCACACCATCTGCAGCGCCGCCGTCCCCACCCGCCGCCTGCAGAACCACACCTCCGGAGCCACCCACACCACTCCGCAGCGCCGCCGTCCCCACCCACCGCCCAGAACTACACCCTCCGGGGCCACCCACACCATCTGCCGCCCAGCTACACCTCCGGGCCACCCACACCATCTGCAGCGTCCCCACCTGCCGCCCAGAACTACACCCTCCGGGGCCACCCACACATCTGCAGCGCCGCTGTCCCCACCTGCCGCCCAGAACTACACCTCCGGGGCCACCCACACCATCCGCAGCGCCGCCGTCCCCACCCGTCGCCCAGAACTACACCCTCCGGGCCACCCACACCATCTGCAGCGCCGCCGTCCCCACCCGCCGCCCAGAACTACACCCTCCGGAGCCACCCACACCATCTGCAGCCGTCCCCACCCGCCGCCCAGAACTACACCCTCCGGCCCCTCACACCAACTGCAGCGCCGCCGTCCCCACCCACCGCCCAGAACTACACCCTCGCCACCCACACCATCTGCAGCGCCATAATCCACCCACCGCCAGAACTACACCCTCCGGGGCCACTCCACCATCTGCAGCGCCGCCGTCCCCACCCGTCGCCCAGAACTACACCTCCGCCACCCACACCTGCAGCGCCGCCGTCCCCACCCGCCGCCCAGAACTACACCCTCCGGAGCCACCCACACCATCTGCAGCGCCGCCGTCCCACCCGCCGCCCAGAACTACACCTCCGGGGCCACTCACACCAACTGCAGCGCCAGCCGTCCCCACCCGCCGCCCAAAACTACACCTCAGGGGCCACCCACACCATCTGCAGCGCCGCCGTCCCCACCCACCGCCCAGAACTACACCCTCCGGGGCCACCCACCATCTGCAGCGCCGCCGTCCCCACCCACCGCCCAGAACTACACCCTCCGGGGCCACTCCACCATCTGCAGCGCCGCCGTCCCCACCCGCCGCCCAGAACTACACCTCGGGGCCACCCACACCATCTACGCGCCGCCGTCCCCACCCGTCGCCCAGAACCACCCCCCTCCGGGCCACCCACACCACTCCGCAGCCGCCGTCCCCACCCGCCGCCCAGAACTACACCCTCCGGGGCCACCCACACCATCTGCAGCGCCGCCGTCCCCACCCGTCGCCCAGAACTACACCCTCGGGGCCACCCACACCATCTGCAGCGCCGTCCCCCACCCGCCGCCCAGACTACACACCTCCGGAGCCACCCACACCATCTGCAGCGCCGCCGTCCCCACCCGCCGCCCAGAACTACACCCTCCGGCCACTCACACCAACTGCAGCCGTCCCCACCACCGCCAGTCCACCCTCCGGGGCCACCCACACCATCTGCAGCGCCGTCCCCACCCACCGCCCCTACACCTCCGGGGCCACCCACCATCTGCAGCGCCGCCGTCCCCACCTGTCGCCCAGAACGCACCCTCCGCCACCCACACCATCTGCGGTAGCCCGCTGTCCCCACCCACCGCCCAGAACTACACCCTCCGGGGCCACCCACCATCTGCAGCGCCGCCGTCCCCACCCACCGCCCAGAACTACACCCTCCGGGGCCACCCACACCATCCCGTAGCGCCGCCGTCCCCTACCCGTCGCCCAGAACTACACCTCCGGGGCCACCACACCACATCTGCAGCGCCGCCGTCCCCACCCGCCGCCCAGAACTACACCCTCCGGAGCCACCCACACCATCTGCAGCGCCGCCGTCCCCACCCGCCATACAGAACTACACCCTCCGGGCCACTCACACCAACCATCTGCAGCGCCGTCCCCACCCGCCGCCCAGAACTACACCCTCCGGGACCACCCACACCATCTGCAGCGCCGCCGTCCCCGCCCACCGCCCAGAACCACCCTCCGGGAATACCCACACCATCTGCAGCGCCGCCGTCCCCACCCACCGCCCAGAACTACACCTCCCGGGGCCACCCACACCATCTGCAGCGCCGCCGTCCCCACCCGTCGCCCAGAACTACACCCTCCCACCCACACCATCTGCAGCGCCGCCGTCCCCACCCGCCGCCCAGAACTACACCCTCCGGAACCACCCACACCATCTGCAGCGCCGCCGCCCCTCCCTGCCCCACCCACCCTCCGCCACCATCTGCCGCCATAATCCCCACCCGCCCAGAACTACACCCTCCGGGGCCACCCACACCATCTGCAGCGCCGCCGTCCCCACCCACCGCCCAGAACTACACCTCGGGGCCACCCACACCATCTGCTCCGCAGCGCCGTCCCCGCCCCACCGCCCAGAACTACACCTCCGGGGCACCCACACCATCTGCAGCGCCGCCGTCCCCACCCGTCGCCCACCGCCAGAACTACACCCTCAGGGCCACCTACCATCTGCAGCGCCACTTCGTCCCCACCCACCGCCCAGAACTACACCACCCTCCGGGCCACCCACACCATCTGCAGCGCCGCCGTCCCCACCTGCCGCCCAGAACTACACCCTCCGGGGCCACCCACCCATTCTGCAGCGCCGCCGTCCCCTACCCGTCGCCCAGAACCACACCCTCCGGGCCACTCCACACCATCTGCAGTGCCGCTGTCCCCACCCGCCGCCCAGGAACTTCACCCTCCTGGGGCCACCCACACCATCTGCAGCGCCGCCACCGTCCCCACCCGTCGCCCAGAACTACACCTCCGGGCCACCCACACCATCTGCAGCGCCGCCGTCCCCACCCGCCGCCCAGAACTGCACCCTCCGGAGCCACCCACCATCTGCAGCGCCGCCGTCCCCACCCGTCCCCACCCAACTGCCGCCGTCCCCACCCACCGCCCAAACTACACCCTCCGGGCCCTCCACCAACTGCAGCCGCCGTCCCCTACCACCGCCCAGACTACACCCTCGGGGCCACCCACTGCAGCGCCGCCGTCCCCACCCACCGCCCAGAACTACACCTCCGGGGCCACCCACACACCCGCCGTCCCCACCCGCCGCCCAGAACTCTGCAGCGCCGCCGTCCCCACCCGCCGCCCAGAACTACACCCTCCGGGCCACTCACACTAACTGCAGCGCCGCCGTCCCCACCCGCCGCCTGCTAGAACTACACCTCCGGGGCCACCCACACCATCTGCAGCCGCCGTCCCCACCCACCGCCCAGAACCAGTACCCCGGGGCCACCCACACCATCTGCAGCGCCGCCGTCCCCACCCGCCACTTGAACTACACCCTCCCCACTCACACCAACTGCAGCGCCCACTTAGTCCACCGCCGCCCAGAACTACCACCCACACCATCTGCAGCCCGCCGTCCCCACCCACCGCCCAGAACTACACCCTCCGGGGCCACCCACACCATCTGCAGCGCCGCTGTCCCCACCCACCGCCCAGAACTACACCCTCCGGGGCCACCCACACCATCTGCAGCGCCGCCGTCCCCACCCACCGCCCAGAACTACACCCTCCGGGAGCCACCCACATCTGCAGCGCCGCCGTCCCCACCCGCCGCCCAGAACTACACCCTCCAGCCACCCACACCATCTCGCAGCGCCGCCGTCCCCACCCACCGCCCAGAACTACACCCTCCGGAGCCACCCACACCATCTGCAGCGCCGCCGTCCCCACCCGCCGCCCAGAACTACACCCTCCGGGGCCACCCACACCACCCGCACCATGCCGTCCAGCGCCGCCGTCCCCTGCCGCCCAGAACTACACCTCCGCCCCCACACCATCTGCAGCGCTGCCGTCCCCACCTGCTGCCGCCCAGAACTGCACCCTCCGGGGCCACCCACCATCTGCAGCGCCGCCCCACCCGTCGCCCAGAACTACACCTCCGGGGCCACCCACACCATCTGCAGCGCCGCCGTCCCCACCCGCCGCCCAGAACTCACCCTCCGGGGCACCCACACCATCTGCAGCGCCGCTTTACCCCTGCGCCCAGAACTGCACCCTCCGGGACTCCACTAACACCTCCGTCCCCACCGCCAGAACCACCATCTGCAGCGCCTGCAGTCCCCACCCGCCGCCCAGAACTACACCCTCCGGTTACCCACACCATCTGCAGCGCCGCCGTCCCCACCCGCCGCCCATAGAACTACCCTCCGGGGCCACTCACACCAACTGCAGCGCCGCCGTCCCCACCCGCCGCCCAGAACTACACCCTCCGGGGCCACCCACACCATCTGCAGCGCCGCCGCCCGGAACTACACCCTCCGGAACCGCCCATACATATTTGTAAACACACCTGCTGCCGCCCTCACAATTATGATCCCTCCTCGTCTAGTTAAGTTAGCCTTAGCGCAATTTCTACACCAATTTGTGTACCGGACCATCTATGTGTCTCAGACTGAAAGAGGAAGTCAGATAGGTTCCCCCGACCTAAATTAAGGGAAACGTTTAATAATTACATTTCTAAGTTCCCAAAATCGGAACTAACTGATCTCCAAAACCAGATTCATAACCTAACTAATCCTAACCTATCGTATCGTAACTTATAACCTAACCTAACCTAACCAAACCTAACCTCCAACTATTAATGAATAAGTTATCCTCAAGTCTAAGGGTTGGCGTACCTGACTCCACTCCACTCCCAACCCTTACACCAACTATCCCAAAGGCTGTATTTCTCAGGGGACCACAGCTTTTAATTTCATTTATCCATCCCACTCTGTGCTTTCACCTGTCCCTCCCATACCATCCATTTTACCCATTAATATCTCTGCCATTATCCCATCATCTCCAATTATGTAACCAGAGTATCGCTTTTTCCCCTGTATTTTCAATGTTTCAGTTTTTATTTCAACACTCCAATCTCAGTACTACTTCATTTATTTTATGATCAAGATAATTCTACCCATTTTTCTTTTTGTTGTTATCCCAGTATCTCTATTTATATCTTCAGAGTATCATATTTTTCTGGTTATATAAATGTACGTACAATATTTCTTTCATTTACTGGGGCTAACAATCTCAGTATCATTTCTTTGGTCTTGTGTGGGTATTTATGAATATTCTGTACATTATTCTTCGTCTCTTAACTGGTATTAAGTCCATGTATGTAATTCCAGTCATCAACCAGTTAAATACGTTCTTACATCACCGGTTTCGTAAGTCAACCAATTAAATACGCTCTTACTGTAGTACTTGATCCTAAGTCATCAACCAGTTAAATACGTTCTTACATCACCGGTTTCGTAAGTCAACCAATTAAATACGCTCTTACTGTAGTACTTGATCCTAAGTCATCAACCAGTTAAATACATTCTTACATCACCAGTATCGTAAGTCAACCATTTAAATACTTTCTTCCGTCATCAGTTAAGAAAAATCCAACATCGGAGTCTCTTGAGAATCCGCTACGTGTACAGCAGGGCTGACGTGAATATTTGTTGTCGCCTAGTCTCGAGTTTTAGTATGAGGATGATGATAGTTAAAAGGTGAGTGACTCGTGTGTGTGTGTGTGTGTGTTAGTAAGAGCTGAGAGTAATTAATGAGGTATGGGAAGGTGTTGAGGAGTACTAGCGTGTTCAGATGGTGTGGAGATTTTTTTTTTTTTTAATTTTGCCACTGACAGCAACTAGTTTATTGTACACCCAATGCTCATCCAGTGGGAGGTAGCACAAAACGGATTACAGGATAGAGATCACAAGGGTGTTTATCAGACCCCAGTGATTTTGATATTGTGGCATTGCGTGTTCGAGTATTTCCAGTGCATTGTTTGTTTCGGTCGGTACATAGAAGTTTTCTTAGTTACTATAGATGCAAAGTGTGGATACAGCCTTAGTACATCAGTCATCAGAGATAAAGTGCTGTGCCCTTACATACAGTGTGTACTTGGATATTTCTGTAAAATGTTTTATTTTTTCGCAGTCTAAGACGTAGTGTTGGAGTGTGTGACCTTACACTTTACATTTGGTTTTGTTCACATCTGCCTGAGGCATATACTGCCAGAGGTACTATCGTGGACAAAAGTTCGCTCCTTCCCAAACTGAAGCAGTATCGACCCGCACAGCACACCCGCACCAGGGTAAGTCAGTTCGGAGACTCATTCCCGTGTCTCAGTTTCACTACAGGGAGCGAACTTTTGTCCACGATAGTACTTATATCCTAACCTTAGTCTAGCAGTTACAACATCTTGTAATCTAGTGATCTTGTTACTGCTCCATATACATGTTTCACTTGATACATCTCATCATGGTAAACATTGGTTTCACTAGTGCCTGTTTGCATCAACAAGTTCTTTCCTGATTACAGTTTTTAAGGTTTTGTTCGACAGTCCTAGATTGTATTCAACATTGTCATTGTTGGACGCGAGTTTAGCGAAGGCATCAACTATATCGTGTTGACTGATGGCTATGTGAGAGGGGAACCACAGCCGCTTGATCCTGATACCCCCCCGTCAACAAGGCATGGGGAGGTGGCGTGGTAAAGGGTGTTGGGGGTGGTAGGGTGTTAAAGAGGGTGTGGGGAGGGAGTATAGAGGGTGTGGTGATGTGTTGAGAGGGTGTGGGGACGGAGTATAGAGGGTGTGGTGATGTGTTGAGAGGGTGTGGGGATGTGTTGAGAGCGTGTGGGGATGTGTTGAGAGAGTGTGGGGATGTGTTGAGAGGGTGTGGTGATGTGTTGAGAGGGTGTGGGGATGTGTTGAGAGGGTGTGGGGATGTGTTGAGAGTGTGGGGATGTGTTGAGAGTGTGAGATGTGTTGAGAGAGTGTGGGGATGTGTTGAGAGGGTGTGGTGATGTGTTGAGAGGGTGTGGGGATGTGTTGAGAGGGTGTGGGGATGTGTTGAGAGAGTGTGGGGATGTGTTGAGAGAGTGTGGAGATGTGTTGAGAGAGTGTGGGGATGTGTTGAGAGGGTGTGGGGCTGCTACAATGTATTAAGAGGACGTGGGATCTGTTACAACGATGTACTGAGAGAGTAGAGTGATTCCCATAAGTTACCGTGCTGTTGTGTGTCAACCTGTCATCTGTTTCTGTTAAATAATAAGAATAATTACCTCCCACAATTTATAACAGTTGTCTTGTGTACGGTTGTTGAAGCACAGAGATACTGATAATAACAGAGTCAATTTTCAATTTCAATTTCAATTGTTTATTCCTTGATAGAGGAAGCGGGATCCTAGTGCTGTCACTAGGTACCCCTGTACAATGACACCAGAAGCATCTGGCAAGTGTCACAAGTATATACAGTATAAATATTATAAATGGGCTTACTAAAGCCTAAGGAAGGAAGGATTTCCTTTAAATAACAGAGTCTCGGTGCTTTTGACTTATTTATAACTGAACATAAATGTGGTGCCATAAGGTATAAGGTAAATATTGTGTATCTCAGTAGTGTGGCTGGTGTTGTGAGCAGCACGCTACAAAATCACGTCATATATTTCAGTCAGTGATTTAGTAACCAGTTCATCGCTTGGTCGTATTTTACCAAAGTGCCGACCCTTAACAGTTGGGAATGCAATTAGTAAGTTTTTTCCTCCTCTAAACTGTTTTTTAAAAAACTCTAAAATTGGTGGAACGTGTTCACACTCCCCCGAACGATTTTTTTGGTGTGTGAGAGAGAGAGAGCGTGAGTTTGCTTCAACACACTGTGGGAGTAATGCTGAACAGAACATTCCAGTGTTGGACGCCAAATACACATACTGTAGTATTATATAACCTTTTAGTGTCGGCCACACCACACATTCCGAAAAATCTGGCAGTAATATGTTGTCATTGGATTGTTGTTGATATGAGGTGATTGTGGCGCGTATTTCCCTCCTCCCCTCGACGCCCCTCAACCTATCCTCTCTTAATTAACCCCGTCGGTATGGATTTAACACCGCCGGTCTCTGATAATATACGGCAAAAAGATCGTTCCTTGAGAGTAAGATTTTCAACTTAACGCCCAGCTCACAGGGTTCCTCAGAGCTAGGGTGTTCTTGATGCCGCTGTTGTTCCAGCTTCTTCTTAGATTCAGGGCTCATCTCATTAGTTACATGGGATGAAATAGCAAACGAGTCTAATTATATATCAAATTAAGCGTAATTCAACAGGTATTTCGGGGTTTATTTTGCGTGGCTGGTGTTGGGGTTACGCCTCTTGTACGTCGAGAGGATACAAGTGATGGGCGGGGCTTTGTTGCCCAGCACCGTCCAATCATGTACGAGGATGGGTGTCATTGCCAAGTTTTATATTTTTTTATATAAATAAATTTCAAAACAGCTCCATAACTTGAAAATTTAATAGACTCACTTATTTTGTAAACGACGAAAGATATCAGGGTTGTTATCGAATATAATTAATTTACTGTTATAGCGAGATATAAACGTTTGGTGTGGAAATAATTGGCATCTTGAGGCTCTCGACGGGGAGTTGGACCATATGAATAGGATGTTTACACTACGTTTGGTAAACCGCCGCCACTGCTAAACAAACACGTCGCTTATTAGATTTAATATCCTCCAACTGGCGCTGCTTATGGCAATATCGAAATATCATAAGACAAAAGGGTAATTTTATCCATTTATTAGCAGGAGTGGACCTTAGAAAAGCAATACCTCATTAAGTGAAATATTTACATTTACTGTATATTGCTTTATCTGGTTTTGTTCGATATTCTTACATGAGTTTGGTAGCCTTAGAATTTCTCGCTGAATTTCGAACGGTTAGTGCAAGAATAATTTAGAATTCCAGTATTCAGCTAAGGACATGAACATGTATATGAATTAGTTTAATATGCAATAATATGTAGATAATTTAAGCGGTAGTAACTGTGGACTTTACTCTGATTAATTTATCTCTCGTAAAATCAACTAGCAAATAAATATAAGTAGTTAATTTTAATGTTGTCAGGTTGTGTAAAGGAGAGTACGTACTGTACAGGTCTAATACGTAACCAGCATGACTGACGGACACACATCCACAATAACTTATTGGCTACATTGAACGCTAATAGTAATCCCAGATTATTTAGTGTGTGTTCACAATATAATGCAGCATTAGGAGGTTTATCTCTACGAAATTTGTGTCTTCAATAACGTGGGGAAGGCTTCATGGATCAATATGAAATTTGGTGTGAAAATATCTTGAATATTTTGGTTAAACTCGATT